TTCAAAATAGATTTGAGGAGGGGTTTCAATATGGCTTATAGCTTCCAGCACAATCAAACTAAAATAAATTTGTATAACTTATAAAGTAAATTAAAAATGATAAATAGTTTAGTAGATCTCATTACATGTTAAATCTCTGGGAGCAAAAATAAGGATGAGACAATGGTCATTAACTTACTGATTCAGACGTAGAGAGTTGGAGTTAAACATGTCCTTCTCTCCACTTAAACTGACTATTTTTTGCATATCAGACAAGATTATCTACTGTTCACATCTGTGAAAACCTGTCTTAGACACCCCCCACCATCCCCCCTCTCGGGTAAATGTTAAGCTTGGCAGAGCCTCATTACTGCCTTTAACAGTTAACCTTGAGCTAGATATTGCGGTCTGTTTGGACAGCCAGAGTAAAATCCTTACAGTATATGTTTTCAAAAATTGACATTATTATTGGTTAGTCATTTAGAATCTAAAATAAGCTGAGAGCTTTCTATAACTACAAGTAATATAGAATATATTTATCAAGAATACAGCTAGGCAAGCAAGACAAAAACAAGAAGTTTCAAGTACTAGTATATATCAACATTATATCATTTGGGACTTTTAATTAACACCATCCCTGAACTAACGATATTGCCAAATGGAATACATAAAATCAGTCACATTTTAATCCTGCAGGGTTTTCATTATTATCTGAGGAAAAAGATGTGCCAACCACAACAACAGATTTCACCAAGGTTCAAGGCTGATACTTTAATCTACAGGCTGAAAATACAACCAATTTTAAAAGCATTTCAACCGATGATATGGATCGCCAATCATTAATATTAAATGAAAACCTTACTATTCTTTTTGCTGAAAAGGAAAATCTATAGATTCTCAGTGTTGCATCTTGGCTGCGCGATGTGCAATTTGCATATAATTTTTGCAGATCACGCATTTTTAATGAAATCAATGCGCACGAAGTTGTGAATCTGACAATCTTTTCAACTTAATTCAGTTAATCTTCATCGTATCTGGAACCCTTCTGCCATGTTTGTTTTCACTCGCAGTAATGACTTAAATACAGACCGGTACAGACCGGAATATCTAGCTCGAGGGTGACTGTTTACGGCCGTAACGAGGCTCTGCCGAGTTTCCGCTAAACAGTTACCAGAGAGCTAGATATTTGCTCGTCTGTAACTGACAGCTGGTGTTTTGGATTCTTTTTTTTCTTGCATATTACAATCAAAATTATTTTCCGAACAGAAATTACGAAAACTGATATTCTCATTACGCACTTTTTTCTTATAAGTAGCGTAAAATGAACGTTACAACTTCATTCAAACGGTTAAGTGACGGGCATCAATAAGAACGCAATTTATTCATAAAGGCGGCGCAGGGCAATGACGTTTATTTAAAGCACGCGACTTGGTCTTACATGGGGGGTGTAAGACAGGGGTTTTCTTTAGCACCGGTTGTAAAACGGTAGATAATCCTGTCTAATATGCAAGAAATGTACTTGATCACATGTAGCAGCCTACCAGGTCATCTGGAGTGTGTATTGACGGTTTGATGTGCGCACTTTACTAGTATTTGTCAATATTTTATTTTTTTCTATTTCCATTGTTGAGCAGACAATAGCTGTCAAAAAATGCCTAAGCCTAAAATAAATGAAGATGTCCCCCACATTTTTTCAAATCCCCAACATTTTTCAGTTGACTGGCAGATAATTCCCCATAATTTTGAAATTCTAGATGCAACACTGATATACATGTAAAGCTCACTAGATACAACCAAACTATCATAACCTTATTTTCGTGTTCCAGTTTTAGGACAGACATTTCATTTTCATGTTCCAGTTTTAGGACAGATATATTATTTTCTAGTTCCAGATTTAGGACAGAGATTTCTGACTCGAGGGCTTGCTGTTTGTTCTGCCATTCATCAACATCATGACTGTATTTGGTTTCCATCTCCCGAAGAGCTGCTTTATTTTCTTCAAACTTCACTTGTAAATCCTAATATATAAACAGTGACATATTTTCTGTTAAAGGGTATAAATCTATATCATATGAAATATTTTCATAAAATTCATCAACAGTAAAATTATATTGGTTCTGTTAAAATATGGTTGATTCCTGAAAAAGTTGTAACATAGAAAGTGTCTGTTATTTAAGACACACGAATAATGTTTGTAAACAGAATAAAATTTTCCGGAACAAGATATTATTTTGATATTTAAGTAGGGTTTTATCCATTTAGCAATGATTTTGTGCATGCGCCATTCACTTTTGAGGCAATAAATTAAACTATCCTTTTTTAAAATCCAAACAATAATTTTTGCATTAGATATATAGCTTAACTGTCATCAAATTTAGCACTGGCACATTCAATGACTGGCTTAATACACTTTAAAACTATAGTATACATTTTATCGAATATAACCAATTTTATCAAATAAAACCACCGAATGTTAAAACTACTAATTTTAAACTATACACAGGGATCAAAATTTCCATTCATATGCCCATATTCATTATCAGAATTTGAGAGACTTTGCAAAAGGATGAGCAGTACAGTGCAGCCTTATAATAGAATTTAGCTGCTACTTCACTTGTCCTGCAGGATAAATGGTTCTAAAAATAATTTAATGATCCCTAAATTTGCCTATAAAGTCAGTATATATACCATTTCTATCAAAGGTTTTGCATAACAATTTTGAAGTGTTTCAAGGTGAACATTATGAAATAAAGATTAAATGATAAGTTATGCGAAGACCTAGGCGCTTTAAATATTTTTTTTCTTTTGGTTTTTAGTCAGAATGACACTCCATTCACCCTTTCAGGGCTTCCCAGGTTGACAGGTAAAGGAAGACCTCAAAATGAATCTCGTTAATAACACAGAGTTACAAAGTAAGTAAATATTTTACCTTTTGGACAACCAGTTTTTTTCTATCTTTTTCATAAGCCTTGACCTGGTTTTCTAGCCTGAAGTTTTCCAGACGTAAGGTCTCAAGCTCATTGGCAAGAACCCTCGGGTGTTGTTTGCGTACATCCTCTGCCGTCAGCCTGGTTTCAGAGTAGAAATTTTAAATTAAAGCTTATAAGTTATATCTAAACCTACATTAATAAGTCAGTGTTATTCATCAAGCAAAAATCTGGCATGAAAAATGAAAAAAAAAATGTAATTTCGAAAAATAAAATCTACACGTTTATGTACAAATACATATTTCAATAGTGTATAATCACAAGTATGTAATTGAGTTAAAATTGTGACACAAATTGTTTTACAGTATTTTTGCTACTGTATTATATATGAGCAGCGTCACAGCAAAACCAACATTATGGGTTTGCGACCAGCATGGATCCAGACCAGCCTGCCCATCCCCGCAGTCTGATCAGGATCCATGCTGTTCGCTTACAAACTCTATAACTAGTAGAGAAACTGATAGCGAACAGCATGGATCCTGATCAGACTGCACGGATGCGCAGACTGGTCTGGATCTCTGCTGGTCGCAAACCCATTATGTTGGTTTTGTTGTGACGCGGCTCATATAAATCTTAGAAATGATAACACAACCTGGTGTATAACGTACAATATTCTACTATTGCATTATGTATTATTCTTTGAAATAGTGACTGACAACTAGTTGTATATTTTATTTAATATTGTATTGTGTATTTGAGGTTATGGCCTTGAACTGTGTTGTAATAACGCGTGACATTAAATATTTTATCATTATTTTCCACTGGCGATTTAGTCAAGCAGCTTAATCTAGTGGTGTTCATTACTTGTCTTTGTGTACAAAAAAAAGCTCATCTGCCAAGAGTCTATATATATTGTCTACAGTTCATTTCTTTATTCATTTTTGTTCATTTTGAAACCCATTGAAATAACAACGGACATCATACATATTTAACAAATGTAAAGATTGCATTTGTGATCTAACTTCTACAATACAAACAGATATCTTATCAAGTATTACTCACTTCATGCCTTTCTTCTTATTCATTTTCAGCGGTGTCATACTGGTTGACGTGCTTGTCATCGGATTTTCTGCCATCTCTGTACCAGCGGTTACCATATCCGGTTGAATCTGTAAACCAAGCTCGCTCCATACTTTCCTCTCCGTATTGGTTCCCATCTCATTCACCTCTGCCTCCAGTGTAAAGGTATATTTGTCTTCAGACGGGCAGGGAACCATGGGTGAACACATTATGGAATGAGTGTCGATCTCATTTTGAACTGAAACATCGTGAACTTGTAGCTGCATTGGTGAACACATGACTGAACACATTTCTACTTCATTCTGTATAGACACATCGTTTCCTTGGAAACGGATAGGAGAACATATCATAGAACGCATTTCAGTTTCATGCTGAATCGATACATCACAATTCTCAAATCTGATTGGTGAACATAAAACAGACTGTGTTTCAACCTCATTTTGAACAGAGAAGTCACAGACTGGCACACTGATTGGAGAACAAGCCACTGAGTTCATAGCTACAGGGGGAAATATATCAATGTTTGTGTCTGAAGCAAAGTCTCTACACATCACTTTTCCGTGTGGTGTTGAATAATTAGACTGCAAAGATTTATTAATACACTCAGCTGTACCTAACTCAATGTCTACATTTGTGTCCTTATTTGTTTGAGTTTCTTCACAACTAGTAACATTTTCACTGTCAAAATTGCAATTCAAAGTATCTTTCTTTGTTTCATGCATGTGATCATTTATGCTACTGTTGCCCTTTTGCTTATCGTAATCGTAACCATTAATATCCCCAGTTTCTTTATTTTGATTATCATTAAAGTTATCATTTGAAGATAATTTTTTTCTACTTTGCGGCATTGGTGAACAAGCCACATCATGCATATGTTTAACCTTATTATTTCCAGAGAATATCTGGACGTGGTGCTCCGTCACTTCTTTCGGAAAAACCCATGTGGCTAAACTTGACGTAGCATCATTGACCCGTTGTCTGAGTGCCAATTTCTCGAGAAATGTTGGCTGAGGTGTCTGAAATTTTAATCCTAGACTCCTGGCTTCCAGAGGTTCAAAACTATTCATTTCTTTCCCATTTACTTTACTATCCGTCTCTGAACAATTATTTAAATTTGGAGTCTGCACATAACTAGCCAGAAGTTCCTCTTCTGATTTTGTTGATTCAGTGAAGCTGGAATCACTGTAATTAGAGTTACCCAGTAAACTGTCCTCATTTACCGACAAATCTCCAAACTGTGACACTAACTCTTGTCTGCCATCTGTCCTAGCCGCCTCGTCAGACATACATTCTAACTGTTCACTCTCAATTTGAACTTCAATTTCAGGTTGTGAACTGATGTCATCACACTGGGTATCAGTCAACATACAGATGTCAGTTAGAGTTGGCTTCAATTCTTCAACACCCAGCTTTTTCTTACTTGAAATGTCTGTTTTCTAAATAAACAGAAATGTCAAATGGATATCAAATTAATTTATTTGTATAAAAAAGATACTAAATTTATCAATGAGTTATAGGAGAAATATAGTCTGAAACTAAATGCAACTTATAACTTCAGTTAATGGACACCTGCATAATTGAGATAACTTTCCCCTTACCACATACAGTAGAGCAAAAATTTTTAAATACTGGGTTCCAATCAATGAATCAAGGCTACCTGTGTATGACAAAAGAAATAGGTTAGTATTTCCACTGGTTGAAATACAACAGATTCAATTACTTTATGGCGACATGGCTAAGTGGGTATCATGTCGGTCCAGTAATCTTATGATCGCTGTCCATGTGGCTTCAAACCCCGTCAGGGGCCAGACGTTGTTTCCTTGAGCAAGAAACTTTACAAATATTGCTCAGTACTGGTTGGTTCCAGGAATGTATTTGAGAGTGTGTCTATAAGCTTTAAGCTTCCTGCATACTCCAACTAAAATAATTTCTGTGTAAATCAAATCTAATTGCTACAATTTCTATAATTATGAAATGAGCTGCGTCACAACAAAACCAACATAATGGGTTTGCAACCAGCATGGATCAAGACCAGCCTGCACATCCGTGCAGTCTGATCAGGATCCATGCTGTTCGCTTACAAACCCTATTACAACTAGAGAAACTGATAACGAACAGCATGGATCCTGATCAGACTGCGCGGATGCGCAGGCTGGTCTGGATCCATGCTGGTCGCAAACGCATTATGTTGGTTTTGTCGTGTCGCAAATGAATTATGTTGGTTTTGTCATGACGCGACTCAAATATGTGTTAACCTCATCATTCAGATCCTGGACACACTGATCAAGAACCTTGGTAACAAATTCTTCCACATTTTCTTCAAATATTTCATCCATTCTGTGAGTTGATGAATAAGAATCTGCACCCTTTCCCATCTAAATAAAAAAAAAAAAATTCTGTTAATTTAATATCGTAACTGTTAATGAGGCCGTATAGGGAGAATATATAAACACACCCTATATCTAAGGGAGGTAATACCAATATTGTGCTACAGTTACATAATGATAAATCATATACTACACGAATCTGGTAATTTGCTTCTTTAAACTTTGAGAATTCTTTTAATTATGATTCAATTCCAATAAAATTTTCAGAAAATGTTACATGTGAAATCCTGATTGCCGACCAGATGTTTTACGCTTGAGCGCATTCACGATTGTAACAGATAAGAATAGGAAACAGTGCTAAATCCAAGCCTGAATTACAGGGTATTTGCAATACATTGTTAAGTATCAGCTGTTTTAATCTTGTTAATAAAATGGAAGTCTGTAGTTATTTAAATTATAATATCTCAATCACATTTACCTTATACTAAATCTAATTTTCCCAAAAAAATATCATACATTTATGGAAAATGTTTACTCAAAATAATAACCACAAAGTTATGTCATTAACCCATTACCCGATATACACACCTTTATTGTTATGATATTTGAATATATTACAAAACTTTTTTAAACACGAGATGGTACAATGGACTATACTCACTCTTGTACTGTCAGTCATCACATTTTCTTTATCAGCTTTCTTTAACAATGATGATGGCTTTAATTTCCTGCTTTGTAAAAGGAAAAGAAAGTGTAACATACTGAGCCAGTCGTAATGTAAAGAGACTTTTCTGTAATTTGTTACAATAAGCATAGATGAGAGGTTATTACTTACAAATAGAGAATAGTAAACTTCACAAGTTTAGAATATATGAGACATACCATGACAAAACCAACATAATGGGTTTGCGACCAGCATGGATCCAGACCAGGATGCGCATCAACGCAGTCTGATCAGGATCCATGCTGTTCGCTATCAGTTTTTCTACTTGATATAGGGTTAGTAAGCGAACAGCATGGATCCTGATCAGACTGCGCAGATGCGCAGGCTGGTTTGGATCCATGCTGGTTGCAAACCCATTATGTTGGTTTTGTCATGGCACGGCTCAATTATATTAATTTTAAACCGGTAGACAGAAGCAAGGGATTGTTCAGCTATGGGTAAATATGATTTGTGCACATTAAATTTTCTATGGAATTGTCCATATCTAGACAGTGGATAATTCTTACATATAAATGTGAACGTTCATGGCTTTAATGATACATAAAAATTCAATAGTCTACTTGACTGAATAACTTTAAAGCAGCTCAATTTCAATTTTCATATCATAATTTTATTACTTTGATACTAAAAACCTTCGGACAAGACATCAAAATTAAAATTCATTACTCAAAGTCAAAAGGTATTAATGATTAAAATCTAAATCATCTCTTTATTACAACTTAGAAATTAATATAGAATTATGCTAAACAAAAGTAAGTTTGTTAAAACCTATGTAAGTTTGTTGGTCGAGGGGTCCCGAATGGTGTACTTGTCTTTATATTCACACTGTCTTTGGGTCTAGCCACCTGTTTAATATCAGTGAGGGGCTTTCTAGGAGTGGATGTACTCATGTTGAAGACTTTAAGGGGCTCTCTTATTAATAGAAGCAGGCAGTGAGAGTACTTTCACAGCATCCTGAAATAACGGCAAATTTACATCATATTCAAAATGTAAAATTATTATATGATTTTTCCAAGTTTAATTCAAATATTCAAATTTATGATGCTTTACACAAGCAATATTTGTTATTAATAAATTGAATTTTCTGGTATGTTGGTAAGAAACTATAGAAATTAAAACATTGTAATGTAAAACAAATAATTACTAAATCATCAGTATATCACTATATGTTACTATAAATTTACAAGGAAAAAAAAAGAGTACCATTATTTTCATTGATACAATGCCAAATTCCAAGGTAATATAACTCACTATTTAAAAATATGAAGTTAATACTTAAAGTTAAAGCTTACACTATCATTTTGTAATGGCAAATTTTCCTTTATGTGCAAATCTTCCATGCTCTGAAACGACAATAATCATTATAATGTTGGTCTCATAAGCAAAAAGTTGACAAAATTCAAGTAAAAGAGAGTAGGTTGAGAGGAGGTTGTGACAAATGTCTAAATTGAGATTTAAGAAATAATATATCCCAAACTGTGATCAGGTGATTTTATCGGATTTTATAATGGGTAAAAATGACAACCGTATTGCGAGTTGATTTTATGAAGGGTCAAACAAGTGCATTTCAGAATGTACACGGGTCAAGACCCGAGTCTCGGGTCAAACAAATCAGATTCTAAATGTTAGTTTTCCTGAATTTTGATGTAAAATAAATTTTGATGTAGATTTGAATCTAAATAAATTACATCCTCTATGTGTGCATAAAAACAGTTGTGTGGGGGGTAGGAGCTCCAATAAGCATGTGCTAATACTGTTTTAGATGTGTGCTAATATTGTTGATCTTCCAGAAACCGCTAAACTAGACGTGTTCCAATTTTATGTCGCGCTTGTACGAAAATTAATGGTACGAAACCAGGATGTAGAGAGAATCAAAACAAAGCATGTTTGTCTAGCATTATTTTAATAAATGTAACTTCTTTACCTAAATGTTTTATTACCAAAAACATTGAAAATCGAAAGTAAGATAAGTTCTGGCAAATGATACCTACTGATCCATGTTATTTACCAAATTTCCATACTTTAAACAGGGAGCGAATTTACAGCTTTTTCATTGGTCAAAAATATTTTGACATTACAATGCCGGAATTTAACGGAAAGAGTCTTTTTTTCACGGAAGGTACGCCGCATCTTTATTACATCTCCCGCGTCAGACACCTGCTGTTGAAAGTACCTGGAAAATGGAAAATCCCCTGAAAATTATTAAAATTAAAGAAAGTGCTATTCGTTTTTGTTATCTTGTCTATGTGAAGGTTTCTTGATAAGTTTAGGGTCTATATTTATTTTTTTTTATTTATTTATACATATACTGGAAAAAACCAAAATCTTGACCAAAGTTAGTTAGATTAGTTTTTTTTGCTTTTGTTTTTTTTAGGGGGGAAAGGGTTGTATTTTTATTTCTATGGACCCCATTGGAAATAAGCTTTAAGCTAAATGGGATATCCATAGTTGCATAGTACCTTTTATTATTTTTTATGACAAAAGTGTGCTCTTTAATTTATGCTGTTTTATATATATATGATTTATATGTTATCTCTTAACTGTATGATTTTATTATTTGTATCATGTACTATGTTCCTTACAGCAAGCAGTAACAAAATGTATAGCTCGTCTTCAACTTCAGTTGAGTTGCATACTTCACAAAATTTTTCATCAGACTTGATTTTTTATACCTCCCGATCTCTATTTGTAATTTGTGAGAACTTATCCTTAACTTTGTAAAACAAGCTCTAATATTTTTATCTTTGATTAATGCTAAATAAGGTTCCCTACAAAAAATTGTTTTAAACAGTGCATAAGTACGTAGTTTTCCATCATTATCTACCACATTTTTCAAATTTATCCATAAATCATATTTTAAAAGTACTCAACAGTTGTTTCCGTACAACAACATATGGATTCTTATCACATTGTTGACTTTCATGTATTTTAAAATGTTGTAGTATCAAGCATGCATTGGATAATCAACTGGTTTTTTTTGTTTGTTTGTTGTTTTTTTGGGGGGTGTTTGGGGTTTTTCTGCATATAGTAAATAATTAAGGGGAATGGCACCAAGCATAACTGGATCATCTTCATAACAAAAGCAGGATGTTAAATCATTGATAACCAATTAAAATAGGTTTGGACTCAGGTTATCGTCTTGTCTTAAACTTTTCTTAATTAGGGCCCGTAGCTAGGATACTGTACTTTTTAAAAATCTTGTTGTTATTTGTCTGACCTTTTGTACTGTTGGACCAAATACATACCTAGTGGGACCCAAATGATGACCGTAGATTGTGTCCTGTTTGCTAGGAAAGCCTTAATTCGTGTATTTGTTCCCCCTCGTGTATATATTTGTTCCCTCTCTCACACAGTATATAATATATAGTGTTAAATTTTGGTAAGGAGTCGCGGATTTGATACCAGTTATAGGCGCACGAAAAGTCTAGGTCCATAAAGTCATGTTGTTTCCCTTTGTTGAGGTCAGACACCAGCTATTCTGTCAAACGTTTAGTTGAGTTTCGTAGAGTTGTTGGTATTGGTAGTTTCCAATCCGGATCACGGCAGTAAGCCACATTGAATTCAATAGAGCAAAGTTCAACCACCGCATCGTTCCTGGGCAGGCTGTCAAAGATGTTTAAGCTGAGGGTCTTATAAAGTCTTATAGGCAGTTTCTCTGACCATTTTTATTTGGGTTCTACGGTCTTCCGTTCTTGATGTTTAGTATAGGTATCTCACACCGGTCATATAGACTGCGCTGTCTTTGGCATTCCATTCAAGTGTAGTACCTGCATCTGCAACATGAGTTTAACACTGTTTCAAGAGATGATAATGTTGACTGTGTGAACATGTTTATTGATCCCTACAACGGTCTCAGTGAGTCTGTAGACATTCCACCAAAAGTTCCGCTAGTGTGCCAAAAACTGACACAGTTGATGCCTTTGAGGGCAATGTTTGTGTTCCAACTTATCCTGAACCACAGACATAGATTGTGGAAAATAATGCTGACTTTGGGCCACTCTCCATATCCATTTTAGAAGGTTAACCTACTAAGATCAACAACACACACACACACGCACGCACGCGTACACACACACGCACGCACCAACACACACACGCGCAAGCCTGTTCCCGGTCTATTCTACAAGAAACAGCTTATATCGAAGGTGAAGTCAGAGGCTAGCCATCATATCTTCCATTCAGCACTTGACATAGTAAAGACAGTTATGAGTGAAAAAGGTCAGTGTCCAAACATCACCAAAACAAAACGTTCTTAAGAGAACAGCCGATCGCCAACGTGAGAAAATGAGAACAAGAATTCTATAAACTTGTACTTTGAAGTTGACTATGAGTCTCTTGGCGCTAATGACTTCATCGTGGGTGATCTTTGAGTTGATGATCAACGACATATGATGTTTGCAACACCAAAGCAACTTGATCTAAGTACAACACACCACTATATAAACGTTGGTTTATGGACGGTACATTTAAGCATACTTTTTGCCAAGCATATTTTCTTTATCTTGAAGACATGACAATTTATTATGTGTTGACTGTTGAAAAACCTTTTGTACTTTATCGCAAGCACAAGTACCTGTTACTTTTGATGAATGTAAGATTTATTGCTTGCTTATTTAATTCAGAGTGTATGATTTCTTGCGAGCACGGGAGGTAGACGCGTTAACCTCCTGGTATTTATATTTTTAGAGTAAAATTCAGATATACTACTTTTAGGAAATATCATAACATTTTAATTCTAATATTCATACAAATAAACAAATTTTGCTTGAACTTAAACATAAAGCTGTAAATATGCTTTAAACTGATCGTTTTGAATTGGTAATAAATTGTAGAAGCGCAATTCAGGGGCGGTCAACTGATGTCAAGTCATGGCTTTATACGTTCCGATGAAGTCAAGCAGCAATTACCTCTACACTTCGTATTCCTGACTCCTGAGCCGACGTAGAAGAAATATTACATCGACGTCCTTCAAAAGACACGTGTTATCCTGAGCAAACACATTTCTCTAGAGGGATTTGTGCTAGATTTTGAAGCCGGTAAGTTTACTAGAACTGGTCCATCTACTAATACGTACTATACTAATCTACTAATGCCATGTGGCAGCTGTAAAAAGTTGCCCCTTACTTCTTTTCAGTGTTGTTATATTTTTCTGGTCCATCGGGATCATTGATGCCAGCAGTATTATTAAGTGTTGAGAATTGAGTACCGCTCAGCCGGTGCTAGGGGGCGTGAGGGATGTTGCACTTATTCATTATCCCTCATGTACAGACTCAATCAAACCGAGTCTGCAATTCTTATGTAATTTTATTGTGATTAATGCTTTTGAGGGATCGCTTTGTTTCCAGATTATTTTCAAGTCAGCTGAATGGGACGAATGTTTGCAATCGTTGTTTTTTTAAAAATTATTTGGTCCCTGTTATAAGAAAACAGGTCAAGGAGGCTGAGCTTGATTTCGGCGAATATTAGATCATGGAATAGGTCGGTTGCAGAGAAAGAAATACCGGGTTGTTGAGGTATGTATTCAAAAGGACTGGGAACGATATGTCAATGCTTATACTGACAATGTGTTTCCTTTTCTAGTTACTCTTAGTTGTATATGTATGTATCTATTTAAGACTTAATGAGGGTCCATACGCCCTTTCAGGCACTTAGAGTGCGGACCTCGGACATGTCACCATTCATGTTCTTAAATATTATTAACAACCAAAAGGTGGCCAATAAATTTTTAATTCAGTAATTCACTGAATGATACTATGTATGTATGCAAGTCGATTTTTGTGATGATACTATATTGATGCACGGAAGGCCAATGACCCATTCTATGCATCATGGGGAAAAATAAGGTGTTGCTGCCAAAATAAATGGTAACATCTTCCAAATGAGCTTGACTGACTGATAAGATTATGCAACTTAGATTTTCTTCATAGGGGAATAGTATACACATTAAACTTGAAGGGGGCTGGATTGGGGCAATCGGGGCAATCATCTTATAAGAACTTATATATCTGCAGTCTTATTATATGGATTAGATCTTATAATCCCACCATATGTATATATTACAGTTAGAACTTTTTCAAAAGAAACTACTTAAACAAATATTATCGCTCCCGATCCTGTCCCATTTTTACTGTCAGGTTTTCTACCAGTCGAGGAACAATTACACATAAAGAATCTTGAATTTCTTCAATAATATCTGTCATCAGATAGAAAATAATGTCGATAAAAAACTTGCTAGAAGACAATTAATAGTTAAAAGTATCAATAGCTCCAGTTGGTTCATTGAAGCTATTTTTGAAATACGAACTTGGCCACATCAACCGCAACCTTGGTCATCCTACAAAACAAAGTGTATGGACAAAAAACAGTATTCGAAATTGTCTCTTCCCAGTTTAAAGAGAAAGTAAAATTTGTATGAATCATTGCAATTCATAAATATATAATATACTCCTGGAAAAGTGCATACGAATATTACAACAAAAGGGAACTCTGTTCGTGAAATAAATATATACATGTACGTCCTATCAAGTTTTTGCTACTTACATCACCATATATATACTATAAAAAATAATAGAGCAGCATTTAATCAAAATACAGTGAATCCAATGTGTCAGCTATGCAATAGAGAATCAGAAGATATCGAGCATTTTCTATTTAACTGTGAAATCCTTGAACTCCAGCGTAAAAGTACTGTCTGAAATTATAGAAGAGTACACAATATTAACTGGAAAGAACTTTAATGATCTTTCTTCAAAACAACAAATTGGAATTATTCTAGACGTCACACATAACTATCCCGAGTATGAAGCCAGAAAATCTACATAAACTTGAATATCATTGCCGACGTAGTTGGGCTTTCTTTAGGAATTCTTATTTTCTCTATCTTACCTACCTTCTTCTTTCAGCAAGATACAAGTCTTTAATGTTGCTCAAGCCTAAGAAGACAAGGAGCAGTAACGGAGCAATCAACAAGGTGGAGCAACATACATGAGTATATTATTACAGTATCAGTGTACATAGATTTTATATGATATATCTACTGTATTGGAGACACTGTGGATATAAGTGCAGCTGTACATAGGTAGCTAGTGATATTCGGCGGAGGATTATTAGTTACACTCTGTTAACTACGGTAGACAGACGTTTCACTATTGAGACGGTTCACACCAAGACGGTTCACACCAAGACGTTTCACTCCCAAATGGGAGTGAAACGTCTTCAAGACGTTTCACTCCCTTTTTATACCAAAATTATTTTGATACTTATGATATACTAAAATAGACCTAAAATATTGAATTGAATTGAACTAAAATAGACCTTAAATTTAATAAAAATAAATTAAATGGGGATTTCACTTTTTTGTCAATGACTTAAAACTCAGTACTTTAAGTTCTATCATTTCATTTCACTTAAAGAAAAAATATTTTTGATTAAAATAACACAATAATAAAATTAACTATTTGATTTATTGTAAACATGGACTCGATAGGCAATTTTAATTTAAAGCATAACAATCTTGTGACAACAATTAACTTTGAGTAACATGTTTCTTTGTTGTTAATTTTGAGATACAAAATTGTTAAATTATTTAATGCTAGTATAGTGCTTTTGCGATATATGTCAAAAATTTTAATGGCCATTGAAATCAGAAATATCTTTAAATTAAATTAGAAGTATTAATTGGGACTTTTTCAATACTTGTCATGTATAATCATATTTTTGTGACTAAAATTAATTATTATATAAACAAAACTTATGGAAAAGTTTCTGTTTAAATTGGCTGTTGTCAAAAAATTATTTTAATGGTCCAATAAACCACTGATTAGTAAATTGTTGATGCTTAATTGCAGTGTTTATACAACTGATTTAATAGTGGTGTCAAACTGTTAGTTGATTGTCTGTGTTTGTACAACTAATTAGGTGATGAGATAACACCACAATTACTAAAGTTTGTAAAATGGCTTCTGTTTAATAAATTGATAAAGAAAATAATTTTAAAAAAATAATATTTTATAAACATGTTTCGCATTTTATTGTTTAAGACTTACAAAAAAATCATTATATTGTCAATATTTTTAATGTATTGATATTTTTTTATTATAATTACCTCTAGTAGTGATTTCAATATTTAAACTGATTTTTATAATATGTCTTTGTTGTTCTTTCTATGTTATTCTAATTTTTTTTAATCTACTATAAATAGAATTTTCTCATGTTGTTACACTTATAATAAAAGTGATATTTATTTACACCTCTTATCACTCAACCCATAATTAAATGAGTAATCTTCTAATAATTTGTATAAACAATACTTTTGAAATCAACAAAATGAAACATTAAATTGAATTTCATTTTTACACTGTTTGATATTAATGAAATTAAAATTTGTTAATTTTTCTGGTAAACATCTCTAAAAATTGGGAGTGAAACGTCCATACAATTGACAAAATGGGAGTGAAACGTCTAGGTGTGAACCGTCTTGGGAGTGAAACGTCTCAATAGTGAAACGTCTTGGGAGTGAAACGTCTGACATTCGTTAACTACACAGTGGTTCGCCTACATAGGCGGTTATGATTAACAACAACATCAACATGATTTAAAATGTAACAATAACCTTGAAATATAATCAATTTTCTTTTTCTTTTCTTTTTTATTGTTAGTCTACTAAAAATTCAAAAACATACTTAGAATTATTACGGAACACATTTAATATGCACAGTTCTTTCCTTTTCCATTCCGGGAAATAAGATACATTTCACTCTTAATTACCAACGTCACGTGATCACAACATTGAGACAAAATGGAGGCAACATTTCGGAGAACGATGACTTCGGTCACAGATACTCTGTTTCCCGTGTCAAAATCAGCTAAAGACCCTCAAAAACATCAAATTTTAAAAGCAGGTCAACGATTTCATTAATTTTATTTTCTGTCAATGTTAATGTTGTCCATGTTATGCTGCAGTTCTTTTTGTGCATGTTCGGTCTTGTGTTTTGAAAAAATTCGCACCATGGATAATTCGTAACAAATGAAGAAAGAAACAATAAATGATGAACTTATTCAAAGATGATATACTTTATTTTATTGAACAAACAAAGTTTTATGATAAGAAATATAAAAATGACATTAATGAACAAATGGCCCTGTGTCAAGAAATAATATGAAATTAGGCGACAAAGCCTATGAAATTATGAATCCGGGTCAGCTCAGCCCCAAAACGTACTTGGCCCCCAAGTTAGCTCGGCCCTATTCCAACTCTGCATGTGTCAACTCGGCCCACTTTTCATTTATTTGCGAGTCAAGATATTAAACCGATTGAGTATCTCACTGTATTTCTGACTCACTCGTGGTAGGTTTAACTGTAAATTTAAATACCTTCAGTGTCAAACAATGTGTTGAAATATATATTGTTACAAGCTATTATTATCAATTAGTGTGTATGTTAAGGATACTGATTAATTAGATGATAATTATGATTGACTCATTCATTCAAATTTGATACCACCTTCAATTAATTAGAAGCTTATGATATTAAGTAAACACGTTTTTTGTTTCTTTTTTTTTAATATTACTTTACAAACAAAATGCATCTAAGGAAACACATTTTTATTAGATCTATATTAATTTTATTGAATATGCAAGACAAATAAATAACAATTTCTTTCTAAATGTACTTTATTTCGGCAGAAGTACAATTATATGATAATAAGATATTTCTTATTATTCATTTTTTTATTTATTTTTTTATTTATATATTTTAGGAACATAGCACATGATACAAAATATAAAATCATACAGTTAAGAAATAACTTAACAACATGCAAAGCAAAGTTAATACGTTATATACATTTTTGTAGAGTGGGCCGAGTTGACCCGTGCAGAGTTGACCCATGCCGAGTTGGTATAGGGAGTTGACTCTTTTCCTGAAATTATGGGGAAGTTGGTTAAGAAATCATTCATTTTTTCTGTTTTAAATGTGTCATTCAGTATTTCATGCACGGCTTCTGGATCTGTTTTCACTCTGATTACTCAACAATTATTATTAATCCGAAAAGTTGCTATTGTTCGTTATTGAAATACCCTGCCTATTATCATTGAGTTACATTAAAAAAGGCAATGTTTAAGTCAATGATTAAAGGCAATAACATTTTGGTCAGTCTGCCATGTTAATACGTGGTGAAATGTTTGCCAATTGTTCATATAACCACAAGAAGTAAATAAATCTTGTACATGTATAATGTAATCTGGAAAAAATCTGCAAAGAATAGTCATAAAATGTTTATTTTTGTTAAATTGCAGGAAACGACTATGTGACAAATCTTCCATTACAAATGGCTATTTATTTCAATGCCTTCTTTTCTCCTTTCTGGATAATAGTTACGCTGGTTGGATTTGAAGTCAAGGTAAACCTGCTTTGTTCTATCAAAGTTTCAAACAAGATTCAAGTTTTCTAACAGTACATGTATTTCTACTATTATTGTAAAGAAGCTAATGAACAATACGAGGGTTGTCCCAATATTCTGTGACAAGATTGTTTAAAAGCTAAATAAAATAGGTACGAATTTGATATTTTAATATGTTATAAATCCATATAATTAAAACGTTTTCAGAAACTTACATAGGAAAATATCAACAAACAACAAAAATATGCCGTAAATACCATGGCAACTGTATGAATCGCGGCGCACGTCAAACGTCAAAGACGGCGTTAAATCTATATAAGGCGCCTTTCTCAAATACTCTCAATGGCTTTCAACGCAATAATGGTGCAGCTTTACCAATAAATCGTCAATTACGGACTTAAATCATGTGGTTGTTAATGTCTGTGGAATGTTTGGATAGCATACATTAGTTTTTGCTATACGCAAACTTCCAGTCTCGTTGCACCTGTTTTTAGATGTAGGAAATAGGGGACGGAGATCGATCTTCCTATTCGTGTTTTCCTTATTTTCACTTTTTGTAGTGGAGAACTCTAGATCCGTTCATGCCTTTAGTAAACAAATGCTCAGGATATGTTGCTAAACTGTTCTATTTGGTATATTTTTTGAAAATCTTAATATGTTTCATCTCGAAATAGTCACGAAACCTGAGTGACCTATTCACTGTGCCGCAAATTCTTTCAACGTCGCCATTTTAATTTTCCTATTTTTTATGAGATATTTTCATACATCCGTTACTTGGTGCGTTTCTTAAGTTATTTAACTAAAATTTTCTGAGATGATGTAAACATAGCAGCAGAGGAAGTCAACGTGACATTGTGCAGACCCATCATCAGATATTTGAAATATACATAATTAATTTTAGCCTATTCATAACAAAATGCAAATTATTTGACGTGCGCCGGCAACCCAAACCAATGTCGTTAATACTGAAAATTTCTAAGTAACTAGAGTAAATTTTTTATAAATGATTTGTTGTAATGTTAAATAATAAACTTAATGGTTATGTGTGTGAATTATTATCTAATGGCGTTAAAAATTAACCATGATAAAATTTGTCACAGACTTTTGGGACAACCCTCGTACTTGTAGGACTTCAAAAAAGTATTTATAGTCATTCTCATTTTTGTGCAACTTATACATACAAATTTTTTTTTATCACATAAACTGTGACAAAGGAGTGTTATAAAGCCATTTAATAAAATTTTTATTACACTAGTGTAATAACACTTTGATGTGATGTCATTTGCGCTATATACACATGTATAATCATAGTGTTAAAGCGCGCTAATGTTAGTGTAATGTTAGCCATTTCTGTTGTTGCATTTTATGATTATTATAATTATTATTATTGTACATACATGAATTTAATACAAAAGATATCCTCTCCAATGTTGTTGTTTAAAATCGTATCAGTTCATTATCATATTGCAAATTCTGACAAAATATTAACAAAGAGTCGTTTTAATTCTATCATATTTAGCATTTCAATCATCTGAACAATACTGATCAAATTGCTAATTATTTAAAATGTTCTTGTGTCACGTGTCTTTTTCTCCCCGTTTAAAAAAATGTAAAATAATTGAGTTTTTATATTTTCATGTGTCCTCGTCATTTTTACAGTACGAGTACCTGTCAATCTTGTATAAAATCACGCTGATAGCTGTTTATGTTACCTACACAATAATTGAAGTTGTTAGACTGTATGTTGGATACATTGGAAACTTAATGGAGAGGGTAAGCATACATTCATATTACAGTGTTTTATATAGGAGAAACTTTAAATTATATATATTTATGGATGATTCAGCATTAAACAGATGGTTTTAGGACTGGTCTATATTCATTTGTAGTTCAAGTTGAGATATTGTTCAATGTTACTTTATATATATGGGTCATTTTTTCTCTAAAAATGTTACTTTATATATGAGCCACTTCTTCTCTAAAGTGAGCTAGTTTGCAGAAGGTCAACAGTTCTACTTGTTACCTGTAATGCTCCAGTATATTTGTTACCTGTAATGCATCAGTAAATATGTTACCTGTAATGCTCTGGACAGTAAATTTGATACCTGTAATGCTCCAGTAAATTTGTTACCTGTAATGCTCCAGTAAATTTGTTACCTGTAATGCTCCAGTAAATATGTTACCTGTAATGCTCCAGTAAATTTGTTACCTGTAATGCTCCAGTAAATTTGTTACCTGTAATGCACCAGTAAATTTGTTACCTGTAATGCTCCAGTAAATTTGTTACCTGTAATGCTCCAGTAAATTTGTTACCTGTAATGCACCAGTAAATTTGTTACCTGTAATGCTCCAGTAAATTTGTTACCTGTAATGCCCTCCCAGTAAAATGTACCTGCTATGCAGCAGTAAATTTGTTACCTGTAATGGCTCCAGTAAATATGTTGACCTGTATTGCACCAGTAAATTTGTTACCTGTTATGCTCCAGTAAATTTGTTACCTGTAATGCACCAGTAAATATGTTACCTGTAAAGCACAAGTAAATTTGTTACCTGTAATGCTCCAGTAAATTTGTTACCTGTAATGCTCCAGTAAATTTGTTACCTGTAATGCTCCAGTAAATTTGTTACCTGTAATGTTTACAATGCTCCAGTAAATTGTTACCCTGTAATGCTCCAGTAAATTTGTTACCTGTAATGCTCCAGGTAAATATAAATTTGTTACCTGTAATGTCCAGTAAATTTGTTACCCCTGTAATGCTCCAGTAAATATGTTACTGTAATGCACCAGTAAATTTTGTTACTGTTAATGCTCCAGTAAATGCTCCAGTAAATATATGTTACCTGTTACCTGTAATGCTCCAGTAAATTTGTTACCTGTAATGCTCCAGTAAATATTGTTACCTGTAATGCTCAGTAAATTTGTTACCTGTAATGCTCCAGTAAATTTGTTACCTGTAATGCTGCTCCAGTAAATTTGTTACCTGTAATGCTCCAGTAAATTTGTTACCTGTAATGCTCCAGTAAATATGTTACCTGTAATGCTCCAGTAAATTTGTTTACCTGTAATGCACCAGTAAATTTTGTTACCTGTAATGCTTCCAGTAAATTTGTTACCTGTAATGCTCCAGTAAATTTGTTACCTGTAATGCTCCAGTAATTTGTTACCTGTAATGCTCCAGTAAATTTGTTACCTGTAATGCTCCAGTTTAAATTTGTTACCTGTAATGGTACCAGTAAATTTGTTACCTGTAATGCACCAGTAAATATGTTACCTGTAATGCTCCAGTAAATTTGTTACCTGTAATGCTCCCAGTAAATTTGTTACTGTAATGCACCAGTAAAATTTGTTACCTGTAAGTGTACAGTAAATTTGTTACCTGTAATGCTCCAGTAAATTTGTTACCTGTAATGCTCCAGTAAATTTGTTACCTGTAATGCACCAGTAAATTTGTTACCTGTAATGCTCCAGTAAATTTGTTACCTGTAATGCACCAGTAAATTTGTTACCTGTAATGCTCCCAGTAAATTTATTACCCATAATACTCCAGTAATGTTACCTGTAATGCACCAGTAAATTTGTTACCTGTAATGCATCCAGTAAATTTGTTACACTGTAATGCACAGTAAATTTGGTTACCTGTAATGCAGCAGTAAATTTGTTACCTGTAATGCTCCAGTAAATTTGTTACCTGTAATGTCCAGTAAATTTGTTACCTGTAATGCTCCAGTGCTTACCTGTAATGCTCCAGTAAATTTGTACCCTGTAATGCACCAGTAAATGTTACCTGTATGCTCCAGTAAATTTGTTACCTGTAATGCTCCAGTAAATTTGTTACCTGTTAATGCTCCAGTAAATTGTTACCTGTAATGCTCCAGTAAATAATGTTACCTGTAATGCTCCAGTAAATATGTTACCTGCAATGTTATGTTACCAAATATGAGATAAATTTTGCTGTGAGTGTTAAGATTTTCATTTGTTGACATCTTTCAAGTATACATATCACTGTTATTTTGTATACACATTTTGTTCCATTTTTATGTAAATTCCTTTGTTTGCAGGTACCAGAGTTGGCTGGTTTCTGGCTGTTGACCTTGCTGATACAGTTTCCTCTGATCCTACTGGTTCTCTTCAATGAGGATGCGAAAATTCTTCCATTTGAAAGAGCTGTGAACATCATAGAGGCATTGTTTGTACTGTTTGAAATCATATGTGGATATATTGCTATTCGAATCATGGTAAATTATCAAGTGACCAAATTCCATTTAAGAATTTTTTACCACCTTTAACAAATGCCAATGGTTTTACGGGGCTACAAGGTCAGGAGGCCAGAACATTTTTTTCTTAAACCAAACATAAATAATAAAACTTCAGTAACCCAAATTATGTTTATATTTTTTGTCCCAGAAAGTTTGTGTATTTTATTTATAAAACCATGAATTGTTTTTTGCACTTGGGAGGTGCTTTGTGTTTTAAAAATCAGAAGCTCCCATAAAAAGCCCATGCTATTTGTTTTGGGTAAAACTTTTTGTTAGTCTAGTTTTAATATTTAATTTATTTTAAAAACCTGAACGGAGAGTAAATAGTCTTTTCCATCAGTATAGAGCCAGGACCTATACTGTCAGTAAATTTTCTTATACTCTTCCCATCTTTAAAATCCCCTCTTTAAAATCATGCAGTTTTCCCAAAAAGTTTGAACCAACACCAGCTCTTTCACTTCCCAAATTTGCGATTGTAACAATTTTTCTCAAAATCAAGAGGCTATGGCCTTTTCCCAATTAAGTGAGAAAAACCACCGACTATTTTGGTATTGAATGGATTGGTCCACATTTAGAGCATGGCCGATTCAGCAGATTAATGTTTAAGTCCCTTAAACTATGTATAGACTGATATCAAAGGAGGACATATTCATTAAAACATTCATTAGATAAATTCAGAGTTAAGATTTAAGTAGAATGCTTGAATTATAGTTATGTAATTAGTCTGTAGATCTTATTTATATATATACGAGAGGTTATCCAAAAATTCATGGACTTTTTAAATATCTTTCGAATGTCAACGTGTATTGTAATGAAATTTTATCAGCATTCATTGAAAGGAACAGTTAACTGCGTCAATAAATAATGATTTTATATTGCTTTTAAGTAAGCACATACACGGCACCTGGCGCATGGTAGAAAAGCGCAGTTAGTCATCGTATATGTTTTGCTAAAAAACTACTAATTAACATAGATAACCCGCTTATCATCGCACATTTCTTCTATGATGTCATTTAAGTAATTTTTTAAAATTATGGACATCATTTCTGTTAATTTTTGTTGAAATCGCCAGAAACGCCAGACGACGATATTGTTTACAACGGGAAAATGACTGACACGCAGAAATTAGAAAATAGCTTGATCATAAAATTTTGTTGTAATTTGGGAATGACAATAACAATTGAATGGTTGAATGAAATTTTATCTGATGTCATATAACAGGTCATGTGTTTCTACTGGTACTTTAAGACCATGTGTAATATTACTGCTCTTGGGAGAAAGAAATATATGTAATGATATCTATATTAGAATGACAGTTTATAAAAATGAAAAAAATGAGTTTAAGATTTTGTTAAAACAGTTAAGTTTACTTGCCTGTTATCAGAATAAGATCATTTACTTATTGGTTTGGACTACCACTCTGTTATGATAACTTAATATAGTCAATTTATAATAGAGAATTAAAGTAGATGTATATTGTTTTGTTCCTAGGAATGTATTATTGAATAATGGTATATTTTATATAAACTCTGTATCAGATACTAGTAAAGATAGTTAATATAAGTAATTTTAAGTTACAACTAGTGCTGTTTAAATAAATTTGATTCATTATTGTATATTAAGCTGTAGAACTACACATCTTTTTCAGAGCAAGATATTATATCTTTTTACTTTTTAATTATATTTCATTTATTCCGTCCATTTACATATCTATGTACATGTAAATATTTGTAAAATAAAGTTTTTGATAAAAAACAAGAAATTGTTGCTATTTGTCACTTAAAGTTTTAATTCACTGTATTTTTGTAAATTTTAATGAAAAAGTTATACTAATATACTCCAGTCAGATGCTTATTATGGTTTCTTGTCAGAGACATTAGTTGTTTTGTTGTTTTTTTGCTGCAAAAAAGTAGGTTTTTTACCCAATATAAAAGGCCTCTTTCCCTGTAAAAATTTTCTTTAAAATCATGCAACGTTCCTAAAAATTCAAAGTTACATCAGCTTCTTTCCCATATCAGCAATATTAGCGAGAATTCTCCCTAAATAAAGCAACTTTGGTCTCTGCTCAATTAGGAAGAAATCCTAGAAAGTAAACTACAAATTCAAAATTCAATAGGAAAATTTCATGTATTGTTTAAATTTGCAGTGTTTCAGACTCTTTAAATTAGCATTCTCTTCAATTTTATTGCCACCTGTGAAAAATTAAGAGTAGTCTGCAATAATACACTCCCAAATGATTTTAATGAAACTTTATTTAACATACTTTTGCAAATGTAGCTGACACTAATTTCTGCAGTAGCCAATATTTTTTGTAGTACACCTTTGGGTTAACAGACTACATATCCTTTAAGTAGTAAATTACTAGTTACAGAATTCCAAAACATCGAGGCATTTTTATCTGTACATCTAAATTTTGAGTCCAATGACCATGTCATTTAGATTATTTCTGCCAGAATCTGTACAGGCTTTAACATTTACTTGTCACAGATCATGAATCCATTGCTTCTAGTGAACGGAACATCCTCTTTGTCTGAAATTGGTTTTACTCCTGTCAACATCTTGATATTTTATACATGTAAATAAATGGAGATTTTGATATCAAAATTGATGCATTTAGTATGAAATACATAAAATGATATTGACCTTTGCAATTCTGAGCACCATGACCGAGGGGTTTCCTCTAAGAATTGCAGCCACTGTTTACCCCTATGTGAGCGTAAGAAGCGGCTAAATGGGTTAGAATTACTGGAGACTATGAATCTCTTAGCTCCAGCAGGTGAGGTGGTTTTGACTGGCAAAATGCACAACTAGGATGGTATCCTGTAAGTATTATTGATATCCTGCCAGCAGTTTGACACATTAAAGTTGGACAATATTTTAGCTCTGGTAGCTATTTTGTGCAGCAAAGCAGAACATGTCAGTGATTAGCTACCAGTGATATGCAAAACAAGGTTTGCTACTGATTGATTCCGTGAAGTTTGGTTGAAATCCCCTCCAGGAGTTTGACCTGTGTGAGCCGGACAAGTTTAATGCTGATAAACAGAGTGATGGTGAGGCCACCAGCCCAAAATATACGTCATAGTTTACTGTATAAATATTTGTACAAAACAGAAATGACATTTTATGCATAATACACACAATAATGGGAACTGGTTTTTGGTCTAAGGTAAAAAGGAAAGTCTCAAACATTTCCAGACTTTATTAAAGATCATTACTATATGCTGCCTAATTGTGTATTAATACATAATGTTGTAATATACTGGTTAAGAAATGATCTTTTAAGTTCATTTAATTTCGTAAGTCTTTCAGATTTCAATGATACTGTAACAAAATGTTTCTTTAACATGATATTAATAACTACGTCAAGTGTACAAGTCAAAGTCTATCCGTTTCGACGTGTAAAACTGACTCTGTGTACCAGCTTTGCGACAAAACACGCCGGCTTTGAAGTAACCATCCTCGGACCATTTTAACATTTCGGAGCTCAAGTACGGACCGTGTATTTCTTCATCATCTTTGTCTTCCCATTTATACTCCCACATAACCTCGTCTGATTGTATCGTATCTAAACCAAACAGAAAATACATTATATAACCTCATCTGATTGTACCGTATCTAAACCAAACAGAAAATGCATTATATAACCTCATCTGATTGTACCGTATCTAAACCAAACAGAAAATGCATTATATAACCTCGTCTGATTGTACCGTATCTAAACCAAACAGAAAATACATTATAACCTCATTTGATTGTACCGTATCTAAACCAAACAGAAAATACAGTATAACCTCATTTGATTGTACTGTATCTAAACCAAACAGAAAATACATGTACCATATCTAAACCCAACAGAAAATACATGTACCGTATCTAAACCCAACAGAAAATACATGTACCGTATCTAAACCCAACAGAAAATACATGTACCGTATCTAAACCAAACAGAAATACAGTATTATATAAGAATTACAGATTTGATTGTACCGTATCTAAACCAAACAGAAAATACAGTATATAAGAATTACAGATGTCTGATTGTACCGTATCTAAACCAAACAGAAAATACATTATATAACCTCGTCTGATTGTACCGTATCTAAACCAAACAGAAATACATTATATAACCTTGTCTGATTGTACCGTATCTAAACCAAACAGAAAATACATTATATAACCTTGTCTGATTGTACCGTATCTAAACCAAACAGAAAATACATTATATAACCTCGTCTGATTGTTTACCGTATCTAAACCAAACAGAAATAACATTAAATAACCTCGTCTGATTGTAACGTATCTAAACCAAACAGAAAATACATTATAATAACCTCGTCTGATTGTACCGTATCTAAACCAAACAGAAAATACATTATATAACCTCGTCTGATTGTACCGTATCTAAACCAAACAGAAATACATTATATAACCTCGTCTGATTGTACCGTATCTAAACCAAACAGAAATACATTATATAACCTCATTTGATTGTACCGTATCTAAACCAAACAGAAAATACATTATATAACCTCGTCTGATTGTACCGTATCTAAACCAAACAGAAATACATTATATAACCTCATTTGATTGTACCATATCTAAACCAAACAGAAAATACAGTACATAACCTCATTTGATTGTACCGTATCTAAACCAAACAGAAAATACAGTACATGACCTCATTTGATTGTACCGTATCTAAACCAAACAGAAAATACATTATATAACCTCATTTGATTGTACCGTATCTAAACCAAACAGAAAATACATTATATAACCTCATTTGATTGTACCGTATCTAAACCAAACAGAAAATACATTATAACCTCGTCTGATTGTACCGTATCTAAACCAAACAGAAAATACATTATATAAGATTGTACCGTATCTAAACCAAACAGAAAATACATTATATAAGAATAACAGATGTCCTGAGAAAAAGAATTACAGATGTATTGGGGAAAAAATCAGTATTTGAGCCACGTCATGACAAAACCAACATAATGGGTTTGCGACCAGCATGCGCATCCGCGCAGTCTGATCAGGATCCATGCTGTTTGCTATCAGTTTTTCTACTTCTCATAGGGTTTGTAAGCCAACAGCATGGATCCTGATCAGACTGCACAGATGTGCAGGCTGGTCTTGATGCCGGTCGCAAACGCACTATGTTGGTTTTGTCATGACGCGGCTCATTTATAGAAAGATTATACTAAAAGTAATACCGTTAACAAGTAGCTTTACTTTAATTTATATCGTATTGTCTGAACTTTCCAATATATATTTTTTTTTCATTGACACAGATTTTTTTTATAAATCATTTTAGTAGTTTTATATATTTGGCTTATTTCACTCTCTTCTTTGAAATTTTAAAGTAGTTCATTAACGAAAATCATGTAATCAACTATACCAGTAGTATATCTTTTCTAGTTTGATTGAACAAAAATATTCATGTAAATAAAAACAACATTATTACTATAACTAGTCCCAAAATTTGCACTTAATTAAGATAATAAATCATCCAGTTGCCAGAAGTTTGAGATTCATTAATTTGTATAATAATTGAATCGGAATACATTTTAAAGACTAACAAGGAAGTTGTATTGTATACACTTTAAGCATAAGAAAGTATCCGAGAAAACTCAGTAAGCCAGCTGTATAGTAGAAAAAGAGGCAAGTGATTTAAAATTGATGACATAAGTCACTGTCATAAATGCCTTTGTAATATTATATCAGCAACTGTAACCAACCAGACTAAACTTTCTTCTTTATATGTTTCTTCAAAGTAGTCTGTATCTATGTCAAGACATTGTAGGCTAAAAAATTTCTTTTTAAGCATTTATGAAGAAAGAATAAATCTGTTTAAAATTTTACCTTTATCTTCCTTTGATTTGTCAGCATTTGAATTTGACTCAGTCTTCACAGAATCAGCGTTTCCGAAATCTTTTCCAATTTTTTCCGTTTCAGTTTTATCAATGTCATCAGCGAACATATCTAAAGCATCATCGTCGTCTATCTTTTCAGGTACGGACACTCTTTCTTTACCGTTATCAAATTTTTTAAGTTCATATGTCAATTTCTCATATGTCATTTCATAAACGTCCATGTTTCCATTTTGCAGCAGTTTATCAGCGAGGCCGGTGAGTGTAAGAAAGTCTTCTTTATCTTTAGCAGCTTGTTTGTCCTCTTCACTTTCTTCCTTCTTCTGTTTCTTGGCTTTCCATCGGTCCATCGACGAGACTGGTTTACCTTTCTTACAACCTAACCGCCTTAATCCTTTACGTACAGTCTCTCCAGGTTTCAGGTATGTCAACATCTCACTGCAAGATAAAATGTACCTTTTTTTAACACAAACTGTTTTTTAAAATCATATGAGTCATATGTTATTATTATGCTAAAAAACGTTTTCAAAAATGCAAATTTCATATTATTTTATACTTTTAAAAGATATTTTTTAAATAATCTGTGCTCTCCAGAATTTATATCAATGTTCACAAACTACAAAACACTGGCATTTAATTATATTTTCAAAACAAGGTTGATTCATTAACCCTTTATAAAGCTAAATATTGTAAATTTAGATTTTTGCCCAGCTTTCAATCATATTTACGCATCAGCGTAGTCTGATCAGGATCCATGCTGTTCGCTTACAAACCCTATAGCAAGTAGAGAAACTGATAGCAAACAGCATGGATCCTGATCAGACTGCGCGGATGCGCAGGCTGGTCTGGATCCATGCTGGTCGCAAACCCATTATGTTGGTTTTGTCGTGACACGGCTCAATGGGTACATTCAGTTGTAGCCTGCAGGATAATGGTTTAAGATAGTAAAGTAAAGTCTTTAATTACTGAGGCTACACATTTAATTACCTTATCTTCCATGTGGGCCTCAAAACATAAATATACATAAAATATATATAATTTACATCATGGTTATACAGTGAAATTTTCAGATAATGATAATCACTTTTTTAAATAACATATATGTATAAATGTACAGTTAATGATGATATGTGAATACCGGGGTATCCACATCTATTGTCCAGGCTAATGAGTAATTCACTGAGGCTGACATCACACAACAAGTGTTACATTACATGATCAAAATGCATTTCTTTATTTGATGAATTCTAAAAGTATTCTGACTGATTTTTTCACCTAAGTAAGCTCTTAGTTAGCTGAGAGAAACTCAAAGCACTATGTTTTTTTCCTTAAAGAGTATACATGTGAGCATAGTTATTTAGACTGACTTGAACCATATATTATTAATTATAGATTTTTTGACAGGTTGTATGGTCCTATGTAAATGGTTGTTTGCATATAGCTGCTTGGGTTATATTGCAAAAAAATAACAACATTTATATGTGCATATACAACATGCCAAAAAATCTTACAAAATGTTTACTTTTATATAGAGGATATTTGTTTGTTTTGCATGTAAGATTGAAATATATTTCACTGAGTGAACACCACATGCAATATTTTCACGAGTAGCGTAGCCCAACTGAAAATAAAAAAGCTGGTGTTCAAGAATGAAATATATTTCAATCTTATATGTTAAACAAATAAATTTATGAAATAAAACCATGAAAAAAAATGTGTTACAGGATCTTTAAGTCCAGTTACTCTACATTTATTGTACGAACACATCACAACATAGAAGAGGGTATACCTGTACATAGATTTTAGATCAAGTTTATCAGCTTCATCATCACTATCATCATCATTCATCTCTGTTGTTTTATTATCTTCTCTTTCTTTTATTGTCTGCCAATCTATGTTATCCATCCACTCATCTTTTATCTTGTCCTACAGTAAACAAGTAAGTATGGTAAGTATTAAAATTTTTTAATTCAAATACACTTGCATATTCATTTTCCTGACCTTCCATGTTAACTTGTGTCACTGGGCTTGCCTAACTATGTTTCCGCTTTAAATAAGGTCTTTATTATTATTATCAATATTATTATTATTATTTTTATCATCATTATTATTATTTTTTTTTTTTTTATCCTTGTATTATGTATATAGAACAATATATTTAGAATTAGAAAAACATCATTTTTAAATAAAAAGCTGGAAAATAAGACAAAATTTGAATATACATATACCGGTATATATTTCGATAAAAATAAAATGCAGTATTAAGTATACTCCATGTCATGCTAGAAGATAAGATCTGACACAATTTTGAATAACAATGAAAGTTACTTGTGTTTAATAGGACTTTTTGTTTGGCACACACTGCTCGGAATCATTGTACATCATTTTTTAATAGTAATTTTATATAAAGTATGCAATATATATTTTATCATTTCATAAACCATTGTTGAATAAATATTATACCTTGTCCTTATCAAATATGTACATTCCATCTTTATCAAAATGACCTTCTTCCATTTCTTCTCTCATGTTGAAAGGAGTTATCTTGATACCATCATCATATCCCACATCTCCTTCTTCCTGTCCTGTAAAATAATAATACCATCATCATATCCCACGTCTCCTTCTTCCTGTCCTGTAAAATAATAATACCATCATCATATCCCACATCTCCTTCTTCCTGCCCTGTAAAATAATAATACCATCATCATATCCCACGTCTCCTTCTTCCTGTCCTGTAAAATAATAATACCATCATTATATCCCACGTCTCCTTCTTCCTGTCCTGTAAAATAATAATACCATCATCATATCCCACATCTCCTTCTTCCTGCCCTGTAAAATAATAATACCATCATCATATCCCACGTCTCCTTCTTCCTGCCCTGTAAAATAATAATATCATCATCATATCCCACGTCTCCTTCTTCCTTCCCTGTAAAATAATAATACCATCATCATATCCCACATCTCCTTCTACCTGTCCTGTAAAATAATAATACCATCATCATATCCCACATCTCCTTCTTCCTGTCCTGTAAAATAATAATACCATCATCATATCCCACATCTCCTTCTTCCTGTCCTGTAAAATAATAATACCATCATCATATCCCACATCTCCTTCTTCCTGTCCTGTAAAATAATAATACCATCATCATATCCCACATCTCCTTCTTCCTGTCCTGTAAAATAATAATACCATCATCATATCCACATCTCCTTCTTCCTGTCCTGTAAAAATAATTAATACCATCATCATATCCCACGTCTCCTTCTTCCTGCCCTGTAAAATAATAATATCATCATCATATTCCCACGTCTCCTTCTTCCTTCCTGTAAAAAATAATAATACCATTTCATATCCCACATCTCCTTCTTCCTGTCCTGTAAAATAATAATACCATCATCATATCCCACATCTCCTTCTTCCTGTCCTGTAAAATAACAATACCATCATCATATCCCAACATCTCCTTCTTCCTGTCCTGTAAAATAATAATACCCATCATCATACCCACGTCCTCCTTCTTCCTGTCCTGTAAAATAATAATACCATCATTTCATATCCCACATCTCCTTCTTCCTGTCCTGTAAAATAATAATACCATCATCATATCCCACATCTCCTTCTTCCTGTCCTGTAAAATAATAATACCATCATCATATCCCACATCTCCTTCTTCCTGTCCTGTAAAATAATAATACCATCATCATATCCCACATCTCCTTCTTCCTGTCCTGTAAAATAATAATACCATCATCATATCCCACACCTCCTTCCTGTCCTGTAAAATAATAATACCATCATCATATCCCACATCTCCTCCTTCCTGTCCTGTAAAATAACCATAAAATATTGTCTCTGAAGTGATTCAGTAATCAGATTTTAACTTTTATAACTTACTCTTGCCATGCTATGTTGTAATGTATGATGTGAAATGTAGTGGAGTAAAATATCACTATTCTTTGATTTCTCAAGCTAACAGCTTCACATCTTCTGAGCATGTTTATAATGCTTGGACTATTTTGCTTTTTTCCACCTTTTACAAACAATCTGACATGCACTTAATTCCTGATTATAACACTTGCGAGAGGGGTTGGCAGTATTCAGAGATAGATTTCATAGAAGTTGAAGATGATTCATTAAGTTGAATCATTTTATACAGTTAAATAGCATGATTTTGCATGACATATAATTTGATACATGTAAATTAGTTTAGAAAAAATAATAAATTATTAATAATAACAAAATATTAAAGTAGATTATTTTTTAAGGGTTTATCTTTAAATACATGTGTAAAAAAACTACAACTTAATACCGAAGATAATTGATATGCCCCTTATCAATATGAATAAGACAAAGCCCCAGAACGAGCTCTTTGACAGAAATTTAAGTACATCATAATTTAAACCTATCGGCGGCTACACATTTTATGTTTTCAATACACATAGAATTGCACACTTCTGGCCGCACTCAACAAAACCACACACTATATATGGCCATTTCATGTTTTATTTGATATCTAAATTGAATCCACTTGTCGAGAACATAGATGGGAACCATAATAGGACAGGGAACCAGATTAAAGTTCGGGTAATATGAAAGTAAGCAAACCCTATGAACTGAGAAGTCTGTTAAATTAAACGTTCATCTTTATTTTCCATTTTCCATTTTAAAAAAGCCATTCGGTATTTAATGCACTGCTTTCGTTTATTCTGGTTTCCTGTCCTATGAAAGAACACAGGACACCAGTCTACAGATCTGTTTTAAATCAGAATTCCTCTGCTTTTATTGTTATCTTGTAATTCAAAAAGTTTAGATGTATCGCTTTTCCATAATGATAAATTTTGCATTACTTCTGGGGAAAGTTTTCAAAACCATCCTTTTCTAGCAGGTACTCGCGTTACGGTTACGGTTACCTTCGGGCAAGCTCTTTAATATTTATTACACAATAGTTATTTCTAACACAAATTTACCACAAACCACTATCTGTGTAATAAGTTTGTCCTACCACAGTCTGACAAAACTGCTTTCACCCGTACAAAGTTGCAGAGACAAGAAAATCAATTGTCCGTATTGTTATACTGCATGGACAAGTAAACTTGTTTAAGTTTTTAATTAATAGCGAGTTCAAAGAGCTCGCCTGAAGAGCCTCCACGCAAAGCGAGGTCTGCTAGAAAGTAATGGTTTTAAAAACTTTCACCGGAAGTACTATACAAAATTATAGGAAATTGACAAACTTTTTGAATTACAAGATAACCATATAAGCCGAGGAATTCTGATTGAAAACGGATCATGGATGCGTAGACTGGTGTCTTGCACACTTTGATAAAACGTGCAAGTAGAGTGGTTGGACCAATGCTTGGCGCATACCAATGCTCGGCGTAAAAAATTTTTTTTTTAGAATATCTGCAAATGTCTCTAGTTATCTCCGAATTAGGTCACTGGTGCTTTTATTTACATCTTTCACCATTTTATCCTGGTGTGGTTCACTGCTGGTAAAGTCACGTGACAATGCTAAAAGCAGACGAACAACCGTATGTAAATCCCCAACATATAAATTATTAAAATCTTTTAACACTAGAGTTCTGGGGCTGTAAAATTTAAACTAAAAGTTGAGTACTTGTAAATGTATGAACCTAATTTGGTTGTTACAATTTTTTCAATATGTTTTCTTCATAAGATAAAAAAAGAGATTTTATTCGAAAAACAATCCTGCATCATGTAGTATTGTACGCCGAGCTATGGTACAATTTCACGCAAACCACTCTTGTTTATCCGTTTATCTGTAGCTCCAGCCATGCACATCATTATGTGATTAGCGAATTTTACACAATGGCTATTTAAAACAATATCGGTCTTGAAAATGGACATATAACATTGAGGTTTGTTGACGTTGATTTGAATTTGCCATATCAAATATAGTATTTTTACGCTGAGCGTTGGTCTACCCACCACTAACAAAGTTTGCACTCTTACCCTATGCTACGACCGGATGTAAACAATACGTTCGCACAGGGCATGCGCGGTGGTTAAATCCCACCCATTTTATTCGATTAAATTCTAGAACAACCACTACTTTTGGTTTCAATTTTGCTGACAAGGAACAGTTTGAATCAACGTAAGCGTTAATTTTAATTGCAATGTCCAAAACTTTGCACTACACGGCGTAATTTTCATTACATATCCGGTATTATCACCGTCATAGTAGTTTTTGTTCCAGTTGGTCAAAATGACGGTACACATTTACATGTAAACAAACAGATTTAATTTCTTAGACAATTTAAATAAGGAATGGACACACGGTAAACTCTGTTGCAACGTAAAGAATATTCATAAACCTGTTTGAGAAAAATTGTCTCCGTGTTCAAATAAATTTCAAAAACGGGAAAAAAAGCAGTCTTTTACCGATACCCTGCAACAGAATCTTATTATTCTGACGAATTAAATTGACTTTAAAACGCTCGTATACAATTATTGATTGATCGATTTTCATTATACTCGAACTCGGTATTATCGGCGCACCTCTATTATCGACGTATTCCGAAAATATGGTAATTTACATAAATAGCACCGCCTACCACCCTCCCACGTGAGTAAACAATAACAAGGAAGTTCACGCTCCATCAAATCGCTATATTTTCGTAGAAATGTCACAAATTCAGGTAAAATTTTTCATTATTAATAAAAATCTATAAAATCCTAATAATTAATATGCTTATACCTCAACTTATTCCTTTTTTCAAAGCTCTATTCACAACAATTAACATCCGTCTGCTATCACTTTTCAATGTACACTGATGACATCACTTTTTTTTCTATGGAAGGCCGTTTACATAATAATTACACTTACATTATTAACCATCCTGAGCAGAGCAAGGTTTTAGGTAAGTTTTTTTTACTCTGTTATTCTATTCTTCTTTCTATGTCCCCACTGCCAATAAATACATTTAAAACTGTAAAAAAACTGTTTAAAGACTGTTGAACTGTTTCCTGTTCCATGTTGACTTTATAAATATCCAGTTAATTGTTTTGAAATAACACTTTGACATTGTTTGGTGACATTTTATTTTGAAAACCATGAACTTGTTGAATCATACTCTTGACTTGAAACTTTATAAATCAACCATAATATGTGTGTAAAGTACAGAAAGATAATTATTTGACGGTGGATAGCCAAACTATAAGGTAAGACAAGTTTTCAGTCATTTTTTTTACAACAACGGCTTGCCATAGTTGATCAATGCTCAATACGTCGATAATAGAGTGTTCTCCCTTTAGGAAGTTGTGTATGCGGTCATACGTTTTGAAGCTAAACATCTTTGACCCAGTTAAGCATAAACTGAATTTCTTACGGTAAATTTGTAGAAAAGGTGTCTGCTTTTTCACGCAAAATATAAATTATTTAATCTAGCACTGAAAAATAACGCGTACATAGTGGAAACTTTAAGTACGCCGATAATAAGGCGTTCCGGGCTATATTTATTTTGTAATACCTATCATTCAGTATGCAATCAAACAAAACCAAGTTTTCCTACATTCAAGGAAACTGTAAGTTAGGACGAGCTTTCAAAACGAACA